CAAATAAAGTAAAGAAAAGTAACTACGCCTTCCATTTTTCACTCCTCCAACAAAAACAGAGCCCTGACTTTCTCACGGGAAAGGTCACTACAATACAGATTTTGAGATGTCCCTTTTTTGAGCCAGTTATCAGGATTTACAATAAAACTGCATCCCTCCTAGAAGCTGTCTTTCCTCACACAGATTTAGAGAATTAACATGACAAAGGCAGAAGAGGCAGGGATTTCAGATCTTCCTAAAGGCACTGAGCTGCACACAGGGACCAAACACCTGGGTGGCCCAGGTTCAGAGCAAAGTGGGCAATTCATTTAAAAGAGATTTGGGAGGGTAATCTAGGTCAGCCAATTCACGTCTGGCCCAGACTTGCTGGGGACTGACTGTCATTACCACCTGACAGATGTTCAGTGGCCTGAATGAACTGAGTTGGTCTCCTTCCAGTTTCTAGAGAACAGGTGTGCAATCACCAAACAAAAAAGGGGAAATCTCCTGTCACAGCTGATACTAACATCTTTGCAGGCAGGTGTAGCAGAAAGGCCAAGAGTTCAGTGGCTATGGAAGGAGACGACTGGCTCTGGAACAGGCAGGGACACACTGAGGAGCCCTTGTGATACCAGAGTTCTCAAACAAACAGCCACAGCCCTGGAACCCCACACCCTGACTTGTGCCTGGGTGGCCACAGTCTGCGGATGAGTTACATTCGAGTCCTCAAACTATTTGGAAAACTCAGACAACAGTTGTAAGCAGCCCCTCCACCAACTAAAAAGTAAAATACATCGCTGGCTTCATTTCTAGTTCAAATCCTGCTCCTTCCATAACATTCTCCTTGTCTCTGATCAGATCTCTTTTGTACGCTGTATCTTTAGTACCCATTGGGCACTAGGCCCATCAGTGCTCCTTACATGATTTCATAGTTCTGCATATCCAGACAAGTACCTGGGATGCTGGCCTGGAACCACTGGCCTCGTTTTAAATTGTGAGACCCCTGAGAGACTCCAGAACCTTTCTACCTAGGGAAGCCTCTCAGACCAACCACACACTGGGGACACGCACTGTTGCACTGTGTATTTTGTGTTCTCTCTCTGATCACCAAGTTGATCCTTTAAGGATGAGACTATTATTGTCAGGGTCACCCCCACCATGGTCTAACACAATGCTCTGCATACAACAGATGTTCCACACTAAACGAAACATCTGTTTGCACACTAAACTGAATGTGATTCTCCACATATTCAATAAACACATATTAACACAGAAGTGATTTTTATCTTAAAACAGAGCTTAGTTTGTGGGTCCACTTTTCAAACACAATAAATTGACAATGGAGGTAAGTAAAAGAGCAGCCACTACACCACTTAGCCTCTGCCCGTGCCTCTCCCACCACTTCCTGACCAGAGTAGGAGTCACCCCTGGATGAGTGTGTACTCTCCGCTAAGGACCATACATACCTTATGTCATTTAACCCTAAGAGACAGAAGCTAACCCTAAGAGACAGAAATCTATCGTTAGCATTGCGCAGAAAGACTGAGGCTTAGAAAAGTGGAGCAATTTGCTCAGAATCACATTTTAACTGGAAGGTCTGCTTCTTAAACCAGGCCTCTGATTTCAATATGAGGGGTTACTGAGTTAAGAGGAAAGGATGGGAGGAGACAGAGGGAAAGTATGTGAAGAAGAAAAATCTTCTTTTCAGACCTCTGCCCTGTCAAATCTTCCTCCATAACTGTGGTGGTTGCCATAATCAACCCAGAACCTCCCACCCCCTCAGCTCCCTCCTCAGGCCCCACGAAGGCTCTTGTTCACCAGCAGGGAGGATGGGCTGCTGATGGCTCACAGCTAAGTTCCATCCCCACTCCAGGGCTGGTCAGATGCAGGAGTGCAAAGGCCTGAGTGCCCTGCCTGCCTCTGGGATATCTTTAAGGGCTTTCCCACCTGCAGTGCTTCCCCATGGCGTGGGCTGAGGCCTTTATTACAGCAGGATCCCAGCACAACCTCTCCAACTGCCCAATTCTGACTTTTTCCTTCCCTCCTTAAGAATCTCCTGCACTTAGCCGGGCATAGTGGCGCATGCCTGAGTCCAGCTACTCAGGAGGTGTGCAGGAGGATCGCGGGAGCCCAGAGTTTGAGGTGCTGTGAGCGAGGCTGACGCCACGGATCACTCTAGCCTGGGCAACAAAGTGAGACCCTGTCTCAAAAAAAAAAAAAAGATCTCCTGCAGACAAATCTCTGCCTCTGAGGCAATTCCCTGGAAACCTGCCTGGAGACACTAACGAACAGTGAGAAAGTGGACATGTGGGCCCACAGCCTCTGCTCACTCATACAGGGAGAAGCATGCAAGACAGGCACATCTGAATCACCTTGCCCAGAGTCAGCTGTGAAAAGTATTGGGAAGAAGGCAGAGCCTGCCTCTGTTTCCCTTCCTGCTCTGATGCCCTTGTTGCTCTAGTCAGTGGCCTGCTCTCTCTTCCCCTCCCATCAAGAACTGCTAGGTTATTAAGGTGAAATGTCCAATTTCCTTAAGTACTAAGTTTGACAGTTGATCTCTCTAACATTTCACTTTGACACTTCTTGCTTTATGTTTTACTGTGAAGGTACATCCTCTCAGTCTTTCAAGTGCCTCAATATGGCTTGTGATTATCTTTCAAATTTATTTTAGAGCAATTATTGTGAAACCATGGATGGTCAAAATTCATGTTATTTTCCAATACGAGTTCCTTCGTGGACCCAGTGCAACACAGGCAGCTCAAAATATCAAGTGTGTGGGAAGGATGTGGCTAATGAACACACAGTACATTGATGGTTTGAGAAGTTCTGTTCTAGTGATTTTAATCTTGAAAATGAGCTATAGGGGTGACCTGAGACCAAGGTGGATAATGATCAGCCGAAAGCTGTAGTGGGAGCAAATCCATCTCTACCTATGTATAAATTAGCAGCAAGGTTTGACATTACTACTCCAATAATCCTCTTGCAAGACCATTAGCAGCAAGGTTTGACATTACTACTCCAATAATCCTCTTGCAAGACCATGCTTGACCACATGTCGTACAAGCAATGCTGCTCAAACTTGGAAACTCTGTCACCCACCATATTCACCAGACCTTGTACCAACTGACTACCACTTCTTCCAGGCTTTGGACCACTTCTTGCAAGGAAAAATATTCAGTTCTCAACAAGCTGTGGAAAATGCCTTTTCACAATTTCATCAGCACTCGCTCTCCAGGCTTCTTCACTGCTGGCGTAAACAAGCTACCGTTAAGATGGCAAAACTGTGTCAGTACTTTAGTTGCATACTTTGATTAATTGAAATTGGACATTTCATATTTAATGACCTAATAGAACTCTGACATCCTCTCCCTTGTCTCCTCTCTCTCCTTCAAATTCTGGGTTCAGAAAAAGATTTAATGAAAGTCAGCCACAAAAAAGTCAATAGAAAGTCAATAAAAGTAATGTATTACTACTTGGGATTTAAAATAAGGCAATGCTCACTTTAAGTTTAGACCAAAGCAAGGACATATACAGCAAAACTCCAGGTGTTTACTTACTCAGTAAAACATATATATATATATATTTGAGCACTTATTGTGTTCAGTGTTGGTTGCAAGGTGGGTGGAAGAGGGATTGTTTTAGGTTGGGGGTGCCCACCTCAGTGGACCCCAGGACCTTCACTGTCCCTCTATATTTAGGACCCATGAAGGTGTATCATTTTAATACTGATTCTATGGCACCACTAGCAGGTGATGGAGCAGACATCTATGAGCAGTTCCTCCCACTCCGCCAAGACCAAGTAAAATCTAGTCTTTTCATATGGAGCTCATTCCTCAGAAAAACAAATAAGCAATCAGCCCTTCTTCTGCTTATGTCAAAAGCACACTAAAAGATTTTTTCAAGATATTTGGAAATGGTTCAAAGAGGCAGCAGCCTTTTAACTTCGGTCTTCCCTGATACTCAGCAAAGGTATTATTTATGTACTTTTGGACAGGTTCAAGATAAAGGGCAAATAGAAAAAAAAATTCATCGCGGGGTTTGCTACAGTATATCTACTCTGTCTGAATGATTCTTTATGTCTACTGAAGAACAAGGAGTATGGAAGAAGTTGCTTCTAATTTTCTCATTTCTCAAAAATGAATACTAGGGTTGCTACTTGGCTTGTCACTGGTTAATATACAAAGTTATGAGACAGTAGGCTGAGAAGAATGAGCAAGACACTGGAGTCTCAAGGACAAAGAATCTTAATTGCTATGTACTACTGCTATCTTAAAGGAATCCCTGTATAAGTCACTTAACCTTTCTTGGAACTTCAGTTAAAAAAAAAGTGAAATAAACACGGGTTCATTTCACAGTGTGCTGTCAGGTATAATTAATAAAATAAAGATGCTCTTCGATTTATGATGAGGTTACATCCCGATAAACCCATCATAAGCTGAAAATATCATTAAGTTGAAAATGCACCTAACGTAGGTTAATACACCTAACCTACCAAACATCCTACATTAGCCTAGCTGATCTTAAATGTTCTCAGAACACTTACATTAGCCTACAGTCGGACAATGCAATGTGTTAGCATCATCTAACACAAAGCCTATTTTATAATAAAGGGTTGAATATCTCATGTAATTTATTGAATACTGAAAGTGAAAAACAGATTGGTTGTACGGGTACTGGAAGTGTGATTTCTACCAAATGCATATCACTTTTGTGCCATCATAAAGGGGAAAAATTGTTAAGTCAAATCATTGTAAATTGGGACTATCTGTACACAGGATTGTCTATCATACGTTGTTCATTAATAACTCCCAAAGATGTTGTAAACTCTCCCTTTGGCAACATAAATATAGCTTTTTAAATTTGGTAGACAAATTTTCATTAATAAAAATGTAAGATTTTAAAAACTACCACACATACATACTTACCAGAAGAACTATAGCAGAAAATAGTGTGAAGTATGGACTCACCTGTGATGATGGAAGGGGCTTTCAGGTATAATCTAAAGCTCTGGGATCATTTACCTTGATATACTGCCACAGATGATTGAGCACGGTTGAGTGTTGTGCAAGAAATGAATGGCTTTGGATATTCCTATTAATATACTGATTCGAAGATGCCAAGAGAGTGGGGCCGAGTTACCCTAAAAAGACAACAGCAGTTGGTTTGGCTGCACATTCTGAAGAAAAACTATCTATATATTTATTACACTAAAGCATGTCAGAATAGAACAAATGGCAAGGTAGAGTAAGGTGAGTGAATCTACATTTTGGTTTGCCACAACCTATTTTTAATTCTAGATGGGTTTCTCTCTGCTACTGATGACAGTTCTAGGCCTCTTTTTTTTTCTTTTCTTTTTTTAATTTTGTTTGGTTAGCCTCTTAATAAACAATGAAAACACTCAATAATTTTAATATTAACTCAATCAAAACATAGCTAGATCAGAATCCATAGGAACATGTAAAAAAAAAAAAGAAAAAGAAAAAAAAAACATAGCTAGTAAGGTAACACTTTAAAAGCTCATTAACTAAGATTTTAAAATTATTTGTGGCACAATAGTATGGATAATTAAAAATAATCTGCTTTTATTCTAACTGAAATTAATCTATTTGGAATTAATCTTTAAACTTACCCTTCAAAAACATCTTACGAATCTTACAAGAAATCATGGCATTTATTCAACTTCCTTCTCTTTAAGGAGCTTGTATCCCTTAGATGTCTATCGTTTGTATTGAAGGATACTTTGCATAAAGTTAAACAAGTTAAAATTATCTGAGAAATAAGGTAGTTGGTATAAACTTACTGGAGGTATAGAATCAATGAGGAGTAAGAACCCAGCAGATCTTTTGGCAAACATGTTGCACAAAGCGTGGTAACTCGGGTTATTTATACAGACTTCTAAGAGCAAGAAATTAATTCAAGGAGAGCTATTCTACTTCCTTGCAAAACCCATCCTTGGCTATCTACTCAGGCAAACACATCTAACTCCTTAGCTCTCTCAGAAAGTTTCAGCAGCTATCCCAGGAGTTCAAGGGGTCAGCGGATCAGGTAGAATAACAGATATGACTTACTACACACTGTAATCTGTCAAAAAGTGTTCCATTTCTCATATATGGATAAACCAAACAGAACTTCTCAGTCTCTGTAAAATATGCAGCCAACTCTAGTATGTTTGGATGATGAAACCTGGAAACAAAAGATTTTTAAAGTCATTAAATTGTTTATTTAAATAGGAAATAAACAACACCCTGGTTTGTGGGTAGTAAGGTGGGATGGGGAATTGGTTTAAAGCAGAATATAAATTCTGCCAAGGAAGAAGTAATTTCACTGAACACATGACACAAATTTGCTTTCCAAATTGGTCTAGAGATTTCTAACAAATACTAGTTACTCTTTTTGATTGACTGTGAGAATATAAATATAAATAAAAAAAAATATAATGAAATAAATAAAATATACCGACAATGAACTATCCAAAAAGGAAATTAAGAAAAATGATCTGTTTATTGCTTTGCATTAAGAAAACCCAAGCCGGCGTGGTGGCTCACGCGCTGTAGATCCTAGCAACTTTGGAGGAGCGAGGCGGGTGGTTGCTCAAGGTCAGGAGTTCGAAACCAAGCCTGAGCTTGAGACCACGTTCTCTACCAAAAATAGAATAAAATTAATTGACCAATTAAAAATATATACAAACAATTAGCCGGGCATGGGCGCATGCTGTAGTCCCAACTACTCGGGAGGCTGATGGCAGGGGATCGCTGAGCCCAGAGATTGAGGTTGTGTGAGCCAGGCTAGACGCCACGGCACGTCACTTGCCTGGGCAACAATGTGAGACCTGTCTCAAAAAAAAAAAAAAAAAGGCAAAGACAAAGCAGGAAAAATATAAATAAAAAAAAAAAAACAAAGAAAAACCCAAAATCTTAGGAGATAAATGTTAACCAAGCCAGTGAGAAGACGGTAACTAACAACCATAGGATATTGATGAAGGAAATTGAAAAAGACATAAATAAATGGAAACATATCTCATGGATTGGAAAATTAATATAGTTAAAATGTCAATATTACCCTATGTTATCTTCAGACTCAATACAATCCCTAGCAAAATTTCAATGGCATTTTTGACAGAAATAGAAAAAATAATCCTTAATAATCTTATGGCCATGATGACCCAACTAGTCCAAGCAAGTTTGAGAAAGAAGAACAAAGTTGGAGGCATTCACTTCCTGATTTCATTATATTCAAGTATCAGTAAGTCAAAACAGTATGGCACTGCATTTAAAAACAGAACACATACCCCCCCCCCCCCCCCCCCCCCCCCCACCCCCCCCCCCCCCCCCCTGACCAATGAATAATAGAAGCTCAGAAATAAGGCTACATATATATGGTCAACTTACTCTTGAACAAGGCACAAAAACACAACAGGGAAAGAAAAATCTCTTCAACAAATGCTGTTGAGAACTGGATATCCACATGTAAAAGAATGAAATTGGACCCTTGTCTTACACCATATACAAAAATTAACTCAAAATGTATTAAAGACTTAATGTAAGATTTAAGATTTGAAACCATAAAAATCTTAGATGTAATAGGGGAAATCTCAGTTGACATGGGTGGGTTGGCAATGATTTTTTGGAAATGACACCAAACGTAGAAGTAACAAAAGCGAAAAATAAAGATCGGAGATAAAAACTAAAAAGACTTCTCCACAGGCAATACAGCAAAACAGCAAAATGAAAACATAATCTACAAAAGGGGAAAAAATATTTTCAACCTATATTATCGATAATGGTTAATATATAAAAACTATATTATAACTCAACTCAATAGTGTGTGCAAAAAAGAAATAATCTTATTAAAAACTAGTAGAAGTAACCTTATGAAGAATTTTTCCATAGTAAGAATGCAAATGTCAACAGGTTATATAAAAAGCACTTTGACATTCATGGATTACCATATAAATTCCAAATCCGAAATCCACAATTATATCGTCCTCTCACCACATAATTCTTATGTATATATATAAAAAAAAGCAATAACAAGAAGTGGCAAGGGTATGGAGGAATTCTATTCCTACTATTGGTAGGAATGTAAATTTGCACAGCCATTATAGAGGTAACTTTAAAAATTATAAATAGAACTATGATATGATCTAGCAATCCCACTTCTGGGATTATATTCAAAAGAAATGAAATTAGTATCTCAAAGAGGCATCTGCACCCCCATGTTCACTGCAGCATTATTCAGAATAGCCAAGATAGGGACATATGGAATCAACCTAAACATCCATTGATAGATAAATGAATAACAAAAAATGACACACACACACACACACATACACTTACACAGAGTGGAATATTATTCATCCATAAAAAAGAAAAAAATCTTGCCATTTGCAGGAACCTGGAGGACATTATGCTAAGTGAAATAAGCCAGACACAGAAAAACAAATAGTGTACAATCTCAAATACATGTAGAGTCTAAAAAGTCAAATTCACAGAAGCAAAGAGTGGATCAACAGTTGTCAGGGGGAAATGGAGAGACGTTAGTCAAAAGGTACAAACTTTCAGTTAAAAGATGAACAAGTTCTGGGGATCTGGTGACAGATATATTAATTAATTTGATTGTGGCACTCATTAGACATTCTATATATACTGTGATGATCAAGTCATCACATTATACCATTGAATATATGTAATTTTTATCTGTAAATTAAGTTTTTTTATGGCAAAAATTAAAAAGTTAGAATAAATATTAGGTTGGCAAGAATGGGAAACCAGATACTCTCCTATATGACTGCTGTTAAGTGTAAATTGGTACAAGTTCTATTATAGGACAATTCAGTACTACAAAATACACATAACAATTTGATTCCATATTTTTATTTATGGGAATTTATCTTACAGATACACTCAAACAGGTACAATATATATATATATATAATATTTTCTTGTTGAAGCATTATTTTTGAATAATAAAAAGGTAGAAATATATAAAACTTATCAATAGGAGAATGGTTAAGTAAATTACAGTGCAGTGTATAATAGAATATGAAAAGAAGCAAAGTGAACAATCTGTTTATGTTGTGTAAAAGAAGGAAAGTAAAAACAAAATACCTATTTGTCTACACATAAAATATCTCTGGAAATATATAAGAAATTGATAACACAGTTGCCTTGGAAAAATCATCTGTGTGTCTGGATGATAATAGTGGGAGAAAAATCTCTTGGTCTACCCCTTTTGCAGTTTTGGAATTTTAAAATATCTGAATCTTTTTCTTTTTTGTTTGTATTATTTTGTTTTTTGAGACAAGGTCTCATTCTTTTGCCTGTGCTAGAGTGCAGTGACATCAGCCTAGCTCACTGCAACCTCAAACTCCTGGGCTTAAGTGATCCTCCTGCCTCAGCCTCCTGAGTAGCTGGGACTACAGGTGCACTCCACCATGCCCAGCTAATTTTTTAAAATTATATTTGGTAGAGACGAGATCTCACCACATTACTCAGCTGCTCTCAAACTCCTGGCCTCAAGCGATCCTCCAGCCTTGACTTCCCAAATGCTAGGATTATAGGCATGAGCTACCATGCCCAGCCTGAACCTTACTTTCATAAGCAAATAAACAAAACTTAAATGTAAAAAATTTTTACCATTGTGTTTAGTTTTTTACTGACTTAATGATGTATACTGAGTTGTTATGAGTGCCCTCTAATATTTTGATTTCTGGCCCTGGCTATGAGAGGAAAGTGATTCAGTATAATGCCTTCTCCCCTCACCTTCCTCCCTGCCCCTCCACTTCACATATTGGTTCAGAAAACATCTGAAAATAACATTTTCTATTTGTAAAGGGTAATAAGTGAACTCTATAGGGTTGGGACCTTCAATAAAGAAGGCTGCACAATTGCAGATATGAATATATATGAAAATGAAGTCATTTTAATTTGTGTCCAAGGACTCTTAGACTTATGAATGAATCCCCCCAAAATAATATGCACATCAAAAGCACTTGATTTCTTTGTCTAAAACTCTCTTCCTGAAGAGAGTTATACTAATGAAACAGTTTCTAGGCTGGAATGTCTCTAAAGAACAGGAGAAATGTAAAATATATACAATTCCAATGTTCTAACAATTATTACTCAGCCATGTTAGTCACACATGACTTAACCCACTTCCTTGTGACAGTTTCTGGTTAAGATGCGTTCAAGTGCATTACGTAAATGATCTATTTTAAAAGGTACTTTAAGGAATTTACTGACGCAGATGTCAAAAATTTACCGAATGTTCTAACATCCAACCCACATTTATTAAATGCCATGCCAAGCACAGTACTGTAAAACCAAAGATGAACAGAGTTGAAACCCAAGCACGAAGAGGGGAAAATTCTAGACAAGATATACTCACAGTAGTAAAACTTCAAGCTCAGATAAAAACCTCTTCCAATGTTTCTGGCATTGCATTTTTTTCTCCTAAATATCATATAGAAAGACAAGAAAAAATTAAGAAAATGATCTTTATTTCTGGGATTCTTAATCTATGGTCTATGGTCTCCCTAAATTAGATAAACTTTTTGATGTAAATGCATATGACATTTTTCTGGGACAGAATCCTTAGCTTTCACCAGATTTTCAAAAATCCATTAGCTCCCAAACAGATTTAGAGAACCACTGTTTTTTATTGTTTTGTTTTGTTTTGTTTTGTTTTGTTTTGTTTTGTTTTGTTTTGTTTTGAGACAGAGTCTCACTCTGCTGCCTGGGCTAGAGTGCCGTGGCATCAGCCTAGCTCACAGCAACCTCAAACTCCTGGGCTCAACCAATCCTTCTGCCTCAGCCTCTCGAGCAGCTGGGACTACAGGCATGCGCCACCATGCCCGGCTAATTTTTTCTGTATATTTTTTAAGTTGTCCAGCTAATTTCTTTCTATTTTTTTAGTAGAGGTGAGGTCTCACTCTTGCTCAGGCTGGTCTCAAACTCCTGAGCTCAAACGATCCGCCCACCTTGGCCTCCCAGAGTGCTATGATTATAGGTGTAAGCCACTGTGCCAAGCCTACTGCTCTTGAATTAAAGGTTTATCTTACAATATATCATGGTGCCAAATTTTCAATTTCAACTTTTTTACCATATTTTGCACACAAATACATAAATTCAAAAATATTCTACGTATTCAAAGAAAATCCCATGACATTTAGAACCTCCCCATTTGATCTCCCAAGGAATTCAATTTGTGTTACTTATATTCTGCTGCAAAATTTTCCTGATTTGGCATTTATGACCTGGGTCATTTGGATATGTCAGTTCAAGTTTACTTTTGCATTAATTTTGAAAAGTTGAGCTTACTAAGCAAATGGAAGCATAACTCCTTACCTCAAAGAAGCTTTTGAAGCTAGCCCAGTGCCTGACACAAGAATACTGAATAAATTAAGGAATTCAATAATATTGTACTGAGCACCTACTCTACACCCGGCACTGTTCTTGATGCCTTTACACATCTTGTATCATTGCATGTTTCTGCATCTCAGGTTCCTAACTTCAACCACAGAAGAGTTATTAATAAATTAAGTATACTCCCAGGTCCCATCATCTGTAGGGCTCTGTCATTTGCAAATTGCTAGAGAAGGCAGAGTTCTGGAGCTCTGTCCTCAGAAATAAAGGGAGAAAAACTCAACAGGAATTCTGGAAGCCATTTTCCAAGATAAGCCAGGAAGTCAGAAATAACACATCAGGCTAAAAAATCCTTTTCAAGGACCACTTTATCAGAATTTGCTTTTTAAAAGACTACTGTCCTGGGAGCCAGGAGGACTAAGTTCAGGCCCATCTATCTCTAACACTTGCTATTTGTGAATTCTGTCAGTCACTTAACCTCCCTAAGGCCATAGTTTTCTTCATCTGAAAAACAAAGGAGTTGGTTTTTGTGTTCATGCTAATCTACAGCACTCTAATACCCGTTGCTTAAAGTGTGATCTACGTACAAAAAATTTCAGCTTCACTGGGAGCTGCTGAGAAATGCTGAATCTTGGATTCCTGCCCATTATGCTGAATCTGAATCTGCACTGTAAGATGATTCCCAGGTGATTAGTACATACAAAGTTCAAAAAGCACAGATCTAACACATTTAGTACAATCCTCCACCTCAGTGCCTCTAAGAAAGGTAATCAGTAATGTCCCAATGTTACAAAACTGCATTTCTTCAAAAAATGTTGTGTGGCTAAGGCTTCATTCAATGATCTCATATTTCCTGAGTGTGTGCGTGTGTGTGTGTGTGTGTGTGTGTGTGTGTGTGTGTGTGTGTTGGGTTAAAGGAGATAGAGATAAAAGCAGAAGGGCAAAAGTCCAACTGCACTTCTATTCACTACCTTAAAAGGAGTTAAAATGTAGGGACAGTAGGACTGTGTTCGGTCCTTTGTAATCTCTGGGTTTTTTTACTCTTAATGATCAGCAACTAACTAAATTCTTGAAAAGGGCATGTATGCTTCCTTCAATTCATTCAACATTTATTGAGTAACTACTATGGGCCAGGCCCCATCACAAGGTACTAAGATACAAAGGCAAATAAGAGCTCTTCAAAGAAAGCCATCCAGTCCGTTGGGAGAGGCAGATGAAGAAATCAATACTACAGGCTGAGGCTATGATGCTGTAGCCTCACATAAGAGGGTCACCAAAACCATACTGGAGGGGTCAGAGGCAATCAAGAAAATAATATCTTTAAGACAGGTAGGGAAAGGGATCCAGAGGCAAAAACATCCCATTCTGAAGTGAGACTCAGAGAGAAAACTCCCAAAAGAGAGTGTAATTTGGTGGCAGCTGCAGAGAGAAGAGGAAAGCAGAGGAGATGTATCCTTTGGGGAGGTGGCCCTGGGCTCAACCATAAGAGAGTGTGCAAATGGACGCTGGCACTAAGAAACGGGCTTCCTTCAGTAAGGCCACCTCTAGAGCAACCACATTCTATTTGTTGAATGGTTTTACCAGTAGATTGTTTCTTTATTAGACTGTTCATCTCAGGAACCTTGAGTTGTCTATATAGAATTAAGTGGTGCAAAATACAATTTGGGAAAATGGAGAAATCAGGTTAATAGTTGTTTAAATGGCTTTGTGATGTAAGTTGCAAACTAGGAATCACTTTAGATTCTTCCTTCTCCCCACTTTCCCAGTCCTGTCCAACTGATCACTAGATTTGGTCCATTTCACCTCACCTCTTACACATGCCTTCTTACCATCCCCACAGACTTTGCCCTGGCTTCCAGCATTAGCTCTCAACACTGCCTACACATCTGAACCACCTGGGGACCTTTTACAAAATACTGATAGCTGCCACCACTGCTACTGTTCTGACTTAACCAGTTGCTATGGAGCTTCTTTTTAGAAAAGCCCCGTAGGTGATTCTAAATACAGTTAGGATAGAGAACACTGGTTGATGCCTTGCCCATTTCTTGATTTACACATCTGAAATATCCCTCTACCAGGTCTTTCTGCTTTTGGTCTAATTTTTGCCATTTTTTCCCCCGGCTCTCCTGCCAACTCCCAATCTATTGTCTAACCTGTAATCTAAGTTATATTTAAAAAATACAAATCTAAGACATTCTCTTACTTAAAAACCACCCACGGTTTTAAACCTACCTTATCTTTCCAGCAACGCCTTTTGTTACTGCCTTCCCCCTCCCCACCTTCCCACTCCACTCCACTGGATGAAGTTATTCCTGAGAAAGATCTGTGCTTTCACACACACACACACCCAGGTATGTGCACCTGCTAAGTATTCCACCCAGACTGTACCTCCCCACCTTTACTGCCTCCCCAAATCCTACTGATCCTTCAAAATCCAGCTGAAAGGTCCCTTCCTATCTTCCACTTTTCCATTTGTTTTTGAAAATGTTTATGGAGTGGTAACTCTGTGCCAGATAGTCTTCTGGGTGCCAGACAGACCCCTCCTCTGGGTGGAGAGAGCTGTATCTTGTATGTACCTCTGTGATCGTTTGTACAAATTCCTGCTAAAGTACTTCTCAAGTAGCCTTTGTTTCATCTTTTGTTCATCTAGCTAATTTCCCCCATAAGACTGTGAGCTCCTGGAGGACAGAACTAGGCCTTATTCATCTCTACATGTTCAGTGCCCAGTCCATAGAAGGAGTTTAGCAAAGGTTTATTGGTTGTTGACCAACAATGAAGAAAAAGGAGAGCAGCTCTGTCACGTCTATGTGTTCGTACTCATCTTCCACTGACTCCTGAGTTTGATCCCCTTTCTGCCTCACTGGCTGCAGTCACCCAACTGTCTTCTACCCTTCTACTCTGATCATTGGCTGGTTCCCACTTGAAGCTTCCTCTTTCCCACCCTCCTGAACTTTGACAAAAGACAATTTATGAAGTAGCACCAAATGCCAAACTGTGACTTAGCCTGAGAAGCTGCCTGGAGAGGACACTGCTCATTCTTAAAAGCCAGGAACACTGGAGCAGACTGGCACAACCTGACCCTCTTAAGCAAAGTCCCAGGGGTCCTGCATGGCTTTTCAAAAAAGTCTTTCTCAATAAATTGGGGAGTGGGAAGGATTTAACTTCTACATTTCTGCAAGACAGGCATTCATTTCTCTAGTCATCTGAGGTCACATATCTATTTCTATTTATGAATATTTAATTTTTTTTAGAGACTGGGTCTTGCTCTGTTACTCAGACTGGAGTGTGGTGGCATGATCATAGCTCACTGTAGCCTCCAACTCCTGGGCTCAGGCAATCCTTCTGCCTCAGCCTCCCAAGTAGCTGGGACCACAGGTATGCACCACGACATCTGGCTAATTAAAAAAAAATTTTTTTTTGTAGATATGAGGTCTCCCTGTGTTGCCCAGACTGGTCTTGAACTCCTGAGCTCAAGCAATCCTCCCACCTCAGCCTCCCCAAGTGCTGGGATTATAGGCATGAGCCACAATGCCTGACCATTTATGAAATTTTTATACTCAAATATACCTTTCAATGTTGATGAAAATACAAATTTTAATATGAAGTATGAGCAAATAAATGGAACTGATATCGTGTGATAGCAATTCTTTCCATACCTGTTTAAATAATTTAATGGCATATGTTTGGTTTTGAATCTCCACTCTATACACATCAAAAATCTCCCCTTCTCCGATTAGGAAGTCTTTGTGGAAATTTCTGGTTCCTTCTATGATGTTTTGAAAGCTGATGGAAGATTTAAGCAATATTCCTTAGGAAGGAAAGCAGGGAGGAGATAAGTTACCTTTTCTCTTTTTGAGAATCAATGTCATCCTTATAACCAAAACTTTCATATCAGAAACAAACCAGAGCCCTGCAAGAAAGTCAGGAGAGGAAGGCCCAAGAACCAAAACCAAAGCCCACTGTGTGCTTTCTGTATATTTGCTTGGGTATCCTTCCTACCATTCCACAGAGCAAATGGTTTTTGAGAACAGTAGCATTGTGATTTTATCAACTCTCCAAAGAGATCAGCCAAAGAGCTTAGTAGCCAAAGAGCTTAGCTTAGCTTAGCTTGGAAACTTTGCCAAGATTTAGTTTCCTCGTCATTAGGTCTATGTATTGCTGCTGACCCATTATGAACCAAAATCACTAAAAAATAATGAAAGCGGACATCTTAATATGACTAAACAATATTCCCCGAGCATGACTGATAGAACACTTCTCATGAGCCAAATCCTCTAAATGCCTAATTTATTTCTTCTGAGTAAATTAGAAAGAGGCTTCAGCTTTTTGAAAAATCATCCAAAGCAGAGATTAGTAGAAAATATGTAAAGGTAATCAAACACAAATTTAAAAGGCAGAGCTTGGCTAAATCCTTCAGAGCTCAGTTTTGGCTGTATTTCCATAGCTAATACAAAGTCCTTTCTAAAGACAGTTTATGTTTGATTCAGACCTTATTGTTTAAGAACCAAAACCTTATCTAACCTTTCTAATTCTCTTCGCAACCAATGAAGCTTCAGATCTTGTGGCAAAGATTAGGCAAGTCAGCCTTAAATAGTCTTTAAAATCTATCAGAATTATTCCCAGGTGGGACTAAATTATTCTCCCTACTGACAAAGTAGGAAAGTTGATATGGAAAATAACTAGATTTTCATATGGACCTTCAGCATTGCTCTACAATTATCTTGAAAGGTTTCTGCAATTACAGAAAATCTTAGAAATGAAAATTTCTAAAACTGCATAAAACCCAACATCATTTTTTAAGTGTTTTCCTATAACATTTAGAAATAGCAAATTTTACTAACAAAAACCTAAAACATCCCCCTTTGTGAAGAGACCACAATTATGTTCTTCATTAGCCGATGGATTCTTAACATAGCAGTTATATGCCATCCATTAGAACTGTAAGTGTCAAAACAAAATAGAAATTATTGCAATACCTGTAACATTTTATATTGAATCTGAATATAAATGGATAATGTATTCATTGAATATTTCTCCTGCTAAATTCACTTAAATGAAAGCATGATTTAAAGAAAAGTATTTTTTTTTTTTTACCTTTTTCATCATGTTCAGGAATAAGAACATTATCCACTATGACATTGGCTGTTTCCTAAGAGAAGAAATACATATTAAAGTAATTCCATTTCATAAGCCTGGGAAGACTAGAACCTCAACAGAAATCCAAAGCTCCCCCTGGACTATACTATGCAACAAAGTGAAATCTAATTTGGAAGAAAGCAAAGTTCTTTCACTTTCTTCAAAAACATTCATTGTCATATATATTTAAGGCTCAATATCAACTGTAAAAACTTAAGCATCAATGCCACAGTCAGTTATAGCCCATTTAAAATGACTTCTAATGCTATAAAAATGATCACTGCTAATTTTCTCTAATAAAATCTAAGAGCAGCACACAAAACATCAACTAGAAAAGGGAAATTAAAAGCTGAGTTAAGACAAATTCATAAGTCACACCATCTGTAGTATTTCTAAGTCTTATCTCTGACAGATCTCTGAGAGGAGAAAGCTCTTGATTCTTCAAATATTTATGAATTATTCTAATTTCCTGAATCCTTATGTAAGTAAAGAATCATGAGATAACTAAGGCATATCTGGTTTTTAAAAAGTGCCTGCAAATCTAGCATTTTTCTGCCTAATAATTTTATAATTATGCTCAATTATATATGCAACAAAGTTCAATGGTCATTTCCTATGCACATACACTCTACCTTGGATGACATGTTTGGTCCGTCCTTCTGATGACTTTGCCATGAAGGATTCAAGATGGCTCCTGAAAGAGAAATTAGGGAAGCTAGATACAAAAATTTTATGTCCCTAATAAACATATTTTCTTTTCTTTCTGAGACCAGGAAAATAAATACTTTGCTAGTAATGTTCATTTCTAAAGTTCAGTTTCATTCCTATAGAATGGTTACATTTTTACATATGTGAAATAGCTTTCTAATGATCAAATATCATACAAACATATTTTTGTTCACTTAAAACATGAATAGCTAGCTTAAGTTATTGTTAGACATAATTAAAAATATTAAAGTACAAAGTAAAAAACTGAAAGAAAAAACATTGTCAACTTTTTCCACTTATAGTTAAGATTTTTATAATTATGAAATTATATCTTCCTGGGTTAGTTTCATTTTTATACCATTGTACTACAAGGTATTAGAGGTGGTTATGTGTAAGTGAGCACTCATGTGTGTGTTTGTGTGTATGTGTTGTCAACCACAAATACTTACCACCCCTTCCCAAATATAGAATATAACTTCTACCTGTTATAGTTCTATCTGAACTGAGGTAGTCTATGTAGTTTCCTACAAAAGATTAAAACCCTGACTTATTTTGCTGTCATTTCTAACATTTTGACTCAGACTTAAAATTTTTATTTCATCTTCCAGTTTTTCTTAGATTAGGTTCTCGAGTTTCTTAAATTTATTTTGCTTAGAAGATTAGTAACAAAACATAATTAAAACAAACCTCCTTGACAACACTATAAACCAACTAGACTTAACAGATACCTATGGAACACTCCATCCAAAAACAGAATACACACATATTTCTCAAGTGCACATTGAACATTCTCTAGAACAAACCATATGTTAGGCAATTAAATGAGCTTCAATACATTTATAAAGATTGAAATCATACAAAGTATTAATATATTTTATGACCACAATGGAATTAGAGTAGAAATCAGTAACATAAGGAAATTTGGAGATTCATAAATATGTGGAAATTAAACAACAAACTCATAATCAATTAATCAAAGAAGAAATCACAAGAGAAGTTAGAATATACTTTGAGATGAATGAGAATGAAAACCCAACATACCAAAATTTAGGGGATACAGCAAAAGCAGTGCTTAGAGGGAAATCTATAGCCATAAATGCCTACTTTAAAAAAGAAGAAATATATTAAATCAATAATCTAATCTTTCACCTAAAGGAACTAAAAAAAAGGAGGGCAAACTAAACTGAAGCAAGTATATGGAAGGAAATAATTAAGACCATAGTAGAAGTAAATGAAATAGAGAATTTTTTACAAAGAGAAAAAATAAATGAAACCAAAGTTGGTTCTTTGAAAAGATCAACAAAACTGACAATCTTTTAGCTACACTTGCCAAGAAAGAAAAAGAGAAGACTCAAGTTACTAAAATCAAGAACAAAAAAAGAGACATAAGTACCAACCTTACAGAAAAAAAAAAAATTATAAGGGAATACTATGAACAGCTGTATGCCAAAAAATTAGTTAACTTAGATGACATGGACAGATTACTAGAAAGACACAAACTACTGAAACTAACTCAAGAAGAAAGAAACAATCTGAATGGACCCACTACAAGTAAACAGGTCAAATTAGTATTTTAAAACTTTCCATAAAGAAAAGTCCAGGCTCAGATGGCTTCACAGGTGAATTCTACCAAACGTGTAAAGATTAACACCAGTCCTTCACAAATTCTTTCAAAATAGAAGAGGACAAAGCAACTTCCAAATCATTCAATAAGGCCAGTGCTACTCTGATACCAATGCCAGACAAAGACATCACAAGAAAACTACAGACCAATATTCCTTATAAATATAAATGCAAAAGCCTTCGATAAAATATTAGCAAACCAAATCCAGAAACATGTAAGAAGAATTAGATATAAGAACCAAATGGGATTTATCCCAGGAATACAAGATTTATTTTATATCTGAAAGCCAATCGATATAATTCATCACACTAAGAGAAGGAAGGATAAAAACCACATGTTCATTTCAATAGATGGCAGAAAGGCTTTTGACAAAATCCAATACCCTACCACTATAAAAGCCCTAGGAACAGAAAGGAATATTCTCAATTTGATAAAGGATATCTATGAAAAACCCACATTGAACATCATTAATGGTAAAAGACTAAATGTTTTCCCCTTAAGATCAGAAACAAGAGGATAAGGATGTCTGGTCTTGTTACTTCAACTGAACATTACATACACTAAAAGTTTTAGCTAGAGAAACTAGACAAGACAAAAAAAAAATATATATATATATATATATATTGAATTAGGGATTGTTATACAGAATAAAATGTGAAATTTGAGGTCTGTAAGGGCATTAAACATCATTGTCTGTTTGTTGTTTGTGAAAAAGATAGATAATACTTCATTGTCACATAAAATGGAAATTCAAAATGGCTAAGAAGCCAATGGAAAGGGTGGATTTCATGTCAAAACTGGAAAATAACTCTGATGATTGAACTATAAATGTAAAATGTGATAAGGACATGCATGCCAGAAACACAGTGATGGTAAGTAAAGATTATAGGATTTTGAACAATTTGGTTATATCCTGAGATATGAGGGAATGCTTTATGGATGTGAAGAAATCACCTAATGGCAGCAATCTGAATTGCAGGAATGGTGCCTGGGAGGAAATAAAAGGCCCTTCTCAATAAGACTCATAAGAAAATCCAAATCTACAAAGTGATGCCTGGAGGTTGGAATGTAAAAGGTCAAAAATTCCTCTAAAATGAAAACCATCCCACCAAACAGAACAAAATTTTAAGGAAATGTAGGCAACACTGATTATTTGGATAAATCTGTCCACATTAGTAGCAAACAAAGACTAACTCTTTTTATGCATTTTCAATTAGGAGCTCTAACTCCTATTTCAGTAAGTGGCTAACACAGGGCATGCCTGTTTAGCAGGCTATACTTATGGTTCCAACAAATCATCACATCTCACTTTTGATAACCTATGCAACTAACTTTTTCAAAATTATATTTCAAAACATCAACTCAATACATTACAATTAAATAATGCTATTTTCTTTAGTTAGAAAAGGAGTAAGGCACTATCCTCCTCTTTATCTCATATTTATTAACACCTATCTGTTTGTACTAGATCAGTAAGTAAATGTCTACCAATCAGCTAATCTCACATCAAAAAAATGAAATCAACTTTGCATGTGCAACAGACTAGGAATTAACCAAGAATGTGGAATTTCTGTCTACATACACTCCAAATCATTCTCTGCTGCATAAACAACACAGAAGGTAAAAATACACACTAAAATCTATTGCAGAACATTGAAGTAAAAAACATACCTGTGTGTCCCATTAAATTGGTGTGAGTTTATACTGTGAACAGGAAACCATGTGAGTGGTTTCATTGGCAGGGAAAGGCCTAGATAATGAAAAGGCAACAGCTTTACAGTTCCCAGGGACTCACTGAATTTCACTTGTTCAGTCAGCTCCAGAATAAAGCATCCTGCTGTACTAAACTAAGTGAAGAAACAGCGTGCAAAAGACAAAAGGGATTAGCTATGTTATACAGATAACATCGTGGTGGAAGTGTATTGGGGATGAAAATCCCATTAATATGAAAAAATCTACAAAATAAAAGTCAATCTGAAGCTATAGTTTTCTGGTGCAAATCTCTCAGGATTTCCTTGTGTGTGCAAGGGCTCATGTGCACTAAATATCTTACCAAAGAACATGTGTGCAAATAAATAGAACAAAAAAGATGCCTACATTTTTAAAAAGCCAAAAGAATAAAGATATTGATTCGAAAGAGCTCCTGACCTAAGAGCTCTGAGTCTACAACATATAGCCCCAAGATCACTCAAGATCATTATTGCTGAAGTGAATAAAATCCAAATGGAATAAACAGAACAGGTAACATTAGATTATTTTTACTGACAAGGAATAAATGGAGAAAAATTCATGAGCTTTAAATGTAAGGCATGGCACAGCATCAGACACGGATAAGACAAACAAAGGGAAGAATTAGGCCACTGTGAAATGGATAGTAAATAAGTAAGACAGAGTTAAATGATGTGGTATAAAAACAGCAGTGAAAAGAAAAATCCCAAAATTATTCTGGAGGTATCATTTGCACTAAAATATAAGGGGTAAATCTAATTATATTTTTAATTTCTAATCATATAATAAAAGAAACAAGCATTATCTATATTTTTCTTTCTCTCTTTTTTTTTTTTTTTTGGAAACAGGAATTTACTCTGTTGCCTAGGCTAGAATACAATGGTGTCATAATAGCTCACTGCAACCTCCAACTCCTGGGCTCAAGCAATCCTCTTACCCTCAGCCTCCTGAGTAGCTGGGACTACAGGCACACACCATCACACCCAGCTAATTTTTCTATTTTTTGTAGAGACGGACTCTCCCTATGTTGCTCAGGCTGGTCTTGAATTCCTGGCCTCAAGTGATCCTCCTGCCTTAGCCTCCCAAAGTGCTAGGATTATAGGAATGAGCCACCACACCCAACCTGTATTTGTCTTAAAGATTGTGATTCTAATTCTGTTTATGACTCAAAGAGTTTCAGAGTTTTAGACAGAGAACTGACTCTATTAGCTGCTAAAATGAAACATTTTAAAAAGTGTAGTTTGGGCCGGGCGCAGTGGCTCACGCCTGTAATCCTAGCACTCTGGGAGGCCGAGGCGGGCGGATAGCTCCAGGCAGAAGTTCAAAACCAGCCTGAGCAAGAGCGAGACCCCATCTCTACTATAAATACAAAGAAATTAATTGGCCAACTAATATATATATAGAAAAAATGAGCTGGGCATGGTGGCACATGTCTGTAGTCCCAGCTACTCAGGAGGCTGAGGCAGGAGGATCGCTTGAGCCCAGGAGTTTGAGGTTGCTGTGAGCTAGGCTGAAGCCAAGGCACTCACTCTAGCCTGGGCAACAAAGCGAGACTCTGTCTCAAAAAAAAAAAAAAAAAAAAAAAAGAAAACAAAACTATGAAGTAGTAGAAAGGAATGTGTTGTATAAGTTAGGCAATAAGGGGAAAAGTGTCACAAGAAAATGTGAGGCTACAAGGTCCCTTCTGGATAGAAGCCACAGGGAAGGAGTCACTGACATGTAGTATGACGAGTCAACGGCTTGGATAAAATGCAATATTTACATATACAAATCATAATTTCTATAAGGTGGACTGAGAGCCACATTACATGAATAAGTGTTTACCATGGTTTGTAATTAAATAGATAGCTCGATGATGCCCCATCTCCTGGAGGATCTGTAGAAGGTCACCGACGGTCTTGTTTTTCTGTGCCCAGGACCAAAGTAATTCTCTTGTTCCACTTTTACCTTGATCTACATATTTTTCAATATGACGAACATCCAGCCAGCTGCTTGAAAGCCGCTCCGCTGTGGAAATCGCGATAGAGAAACAACGAATAGTTAAATGTACTCTTATTGGAATACTTGTTTTTATGTAAACTGTATGCCTTATTTCACTTTATTTGTGACTTTTTATTTTGAACTAATTTAGCATATATGCTTCACCCACCTCCTGCTAATGTTAACATTTTACTATGACACAACTATCAGAAGCAGTGATAACTGCAGACCTTATTCTATTTCACTAGTTTTCCCACTTAAGTCCCTTTTCTTTTCTAAGATCCCATCCAGTTTCCAACATAGCAATTCAATTGTTCCCTCTCCTTAATCTCCTCCAATCTGTGATGGTTCCTCAGTCTTTCCTTGTCTTTCAGGAGAATGAAATGATACTGTGTCCTTCTCAGTATGTAACATCAAGAGGTTTGTGATATCAATATCTTATCACTAGTAACGTTTATTTTGATTGCTTGGTGAAGGTGATGTTTGCAAAGTTTCTCCACTATAAAATTATTGTTAAAATTTCCCTTTAATTAAATATTTAATTAAATATTCCCTTAATAACAACTATGTTGGGGAGAAACCTGAGATTATGCAAATACCCTGCTTCTCCTCAGATTTGGCCCACCAATACTTGCATGCATCAGCAGATTGTATGTATCACAATTACTGAGGTGTTTGCTTAATGGTGAATTTCTATTTCCCCTTTTTCCTTCTATGTTCATTAATTGTAACTCTTCTGTAAGAAAGAGCTGTCCCTTCTCCTCCATTTATTTATTTATTCAATTTTTTATTTCTATCAGTATGGACTCATGGATATTTATTTTATTCTATAGGTAAAAATCCAATTCTATAATTATTTATTTTGTTGCTAAAACTGTTCTAGCTTTGTCCATTTAGGTTTGCTCTTATGTTCTTTTGATAAGCCCTATCTTTTTTTGAGCACTTCTTTATTTTCTGGCTCTACAAGTTGCTCTGGGCTCATTTTGTATTATATTTCCCCTTCCCCAAGACTGGAATTAATTACTTGTCCAAGGATCCTGGTTTATTCACTGGAAAATGGTGTTTCTTAGCTTCTAAGTTAAGATGCAGGTGCCAGATGTGCTCATTGTGGCCAAGGTTCTATCACTTCTAGGCCTTCCAAGCACGCAGAGCTAGGAAATACATGAATGTGCACTAATCCATCGACCTTTATTTCTCTATCTACATGTATACATATTAAAAACTAAGAATTTGTTCTGATACCTCTGATTCCAATCCAACATCACAGGGTACATTTCAGTCTTTCTGTGTTTCTAACTTCATTCTTGAATAGTAAGAAACTCTGCTCTTGTTACTGACAGTATATTTACTTATTTGTTTAATTCTACTATACAAATAAAATACTTTCAGAATTGCTAAGCCATACCCCTGTGAGAAACATATTAACCAACTAAATTAGAGCATAATAATTCTTTTTGTCCTTAGCCCAAAGGTATCCAGTGAAGATGCTGTTTTCCAAAGTTACTTAGGCTAATTTTTTCCTTCCTCAACCCCTTCAGTGTGGTTATTATTCATTTGCAATACAGTTAGATTCAGTTGTTGAAGTTTTTATGGAATGGCGTTTTAAGTTTTTGTTCTATACTGTCTCGTTGAGCAATTCTGAGCAATTAAAAGGTAATATTTGGGTAGGATCAGGGAAATGTTTTTCTAGGCTACTAGGCTTTTAATTGCTCAATTAGGGTCTGTTATAAATACATGAACACTGTACTGAAAGTATATGAGTTTTTATGGTACCCTAAGTTAACAGGATTCTTCAATTGGAAATTTATACTGGCATACTGCACAACTTTCAAATTTTAAAGTGCACTTTAAGGCAAAGGAGGGAGAAAGAAAGCAAATGACTGAAAGGTTGGTCTTGTTTTTACGGTAATACTCCCAGATTAGCTCAGTCATCTTGAGCAGTAAATTAGCAATGTGGCTTTGGGCCATTGATGGTGATGGCAGCATTCTCTCATACCTTTACCTTTGAGAGAATACAACATTTAGGATCCCAGATACAAGTCTGTGGATAAAATCCAACAGTGACCTGGCAGTGGTCAGGAGGACCGCCAACACACCACCATAATTGATTATAGGAACTCAGCACTCTTTCCTTCTCCACTCACAATGTGGAAGCTGCCCTCTAGCAGTAACCATGGTACCTTAATCAAAGGACTCCCCTATCCACAAAGCTATATTCTTTAAAGGCTGCTGTCCTTTTAAAAGGCCAAGAGCTGCTCAGATTTGAGAAGAACAATAAGCTTTACGGAACTTTCTTCTGTTAAAACTCGGTTTCAGAGTCCAAAGATTTTTAATTTCTCAGGGAGTTGCTATACCAGTTACAGTATCTAAAATCAAGAAATCGGAAAGGCAATGTCTTTTGCCTTAATATGGCGTCCCCTTACCCCACATTTTCAGTTCTACAAGGCTTTGCTGGAATATTCAATTTACCTCAACTTTATGTCCCTGCTGAGACTGTAAGTAAACCCTGAAAGTTGAAAGAGGGCTTGAAAGTTGAAACTTAAAAGAAAGTTGAAAGAGGTGCAATATTACTGCACCCCTTTCTGTGAGCCAAATACAGAAAGTAAATTTCTGCTATGTTAAACCACTGAGATCTTGGTGGTGCTTGTCACTGCAGCATAACTTAGTCTATCCTGACTGCTACACACAAAGTTGTATCTTGAATGTTCTATTACTTAGTCATATCTTGTACCAGAATAGAGTTAAAGGGAAGGGAAGCTTTTGTGATTGTATATCAAACGAGGGAAGATAAAGTTGAGACATTCTATTTGAATGCATGTTTAGGCTGTAAGGAAAGAAAAATAGCTACAATAAAATGTCTGACATCATTGTGTGGGAAGGTCTTCACCTCTCCTCCATATTTTAAGTTTTGGTAAGAATGTATTCGTTACTCATCTCTTTGAAGAGATGATGCGTCACAAAGAGGCAAGAACCATCCAAATGTCAACATATGCTTTAGATAGCACATTGCTTTAAAAAAAAAAAAGGCCTTTAAAGCAAAAATATTGGCAAGATGTGACAATGTTATTTTATTAATAATATATTTCTTTCTGATGAGAGGTAATCTACCTATTTGGTTGAGGTACATTTTTCATAAATACTTTATTTAGTTATTTCTAGAAGTTCTTGAGAGAAATACTGCAAATCAGTGCCATTCAAACATGTGTTGAGTAGCTTCTGTGTGCCAGCGGTACAGTAATTGCATGCACCAAGTGTGCGTGGAAGATGAAGACAGGTCCCTAATAAAAGACAGGAATACCAGGGCATGTTTCCTGGAGGGGTGGTTTCTGGAGCCACAGACAAGTTTAAAACTATGAGTATTTCTAAAGAAAGGTCAATTCTTAAAGAAATATTAGATAGAGTATGCTATCCTGGGAGGAAAATGACGCTGAGTCCCATAGACTATCCTTTCTTCCTCTTCTTCTTTTTATTTATTTTTTTCTTTTTTGAGACAGGGTCTGGCTCTGTTGCCCAGGCTGGCATGCAGTGGTGCAATTATAGCTCAGTGTAACCCCAACTCCTGGGCTCAAGGGATCCTCCCACCTCAGCCTCCTAAAATGTTGGATTACAGGCATGAGCCACCTCACCTGGCTCTATCCTGTCTTCTAAGGAGGAAAGTCTTCTGTCAAAATAGAGCTTCCCCTCTGACTCAAGGGAGGAGGAGGGCATGGGCAATATATGTAACCTTAACATTTGTACCCTCATAATATGCCAAAATAAAAAAAATTTTTTTTTTAAATAGAGCTTCCCTGTGGGCCTCTGGGTAAGTGTAGGAACATATGTGTTTAGTAGTGGCTCTGCCATTGACCTATGACACAATAGGCAAGACACAGTCTCACTGAACAATCTCAAACTTCTCATTGGTAAATGTTCTTTGAAGTAGTCCCACCTAAAACATATACTAAATTTGGTTGCTCTTCCTTGGCCTACTAATTATATGAGCAATAACTTTAAAATACCTCTAGTTTTTAAACGCATCTCATTCTCAAAATTAGCATTCCAACAAAAGAACTCTATCAAATTTCAGCAAAGGGAAAGTTTAGGCTTCTACTTTTCCTATTAGAAAATGAATTGGCTAATATTTACAGAGTATTAGGCATAATGTACTATATAAATGAATAATAATGAATATTGACATATGACAGGCTTCTTCCCTTTTTTTAAAAAATAGTTGAATTTTTGCAATAAGAAATATGCACACAATTTCACAAGGGTGAAGAGGAAAGATGCTCTTGTGGGCTACCACAATCAGGGCAGGAACAGAAGGGTGACAAAACCTCAGCCAACTTTGCAGCAGAGGAGGACTGAGGCCAGGTTTAACTAGGCTGGGGGGAAAGGGAAGGGTCTGTCAGATGGGGAATTGTTCTAGAAACGGTGAAGAGGGCACAAGGGGGCAAAGAGGAGACTAGTATGCTTAGAGCAGAGGATTCAGGATAAAGAAAAAGTGAACAAATTCCATGAAGTCTCTATGTGACCTTGTATCTCCAGGAATGTGCTTAGCACATAGTAGACATCCAATACATATTTGCTGAATGGCCATGAATGTTAGCGTAAGAACTTAAAATTTCATTCTGAAAGCAATGAGACCTGTCTGAAATTTCTGAAAAGGTGATGCAAAGATGACAGCTTTGCTTTTTGGAAGATCCATCTGATGGTAATAGTAGCAGGAGTCTCAAATACAATATTTACACATAAAAAGGTAGAAACATTTTTAGCTCACAACAATTCTCCTAGTAAGAAAGGAATAGTGTATAACTGTTAAGTAAATATAGAGTTAATTTCCATAATTCCATTCCCGGTTTTGTTTTGTTTTTAATTTCCAAATTTCACTTTTAAAAGTGTAGCAGGCCATGACTCTGTTCTCTTCCATCCTGTGACTTGGCTGAGAAACTGCTATCTAAGATGCTGTCCCATAAGCACATTTCTGAGATTCAGCTGGAACATGAATGAACAGATGGCAAATGAGCTGGGGTTTTTAGTTCCCCAAT